CTTTTGTTGTGATTTGGCGCTATATAAATAAAATTGAATTGAATTGAATTGAATTGAATTGAATCATACAGGGCAAAGAGTAGAAAAAGCAGATTAAAATAGAAGGAAAAAGAAAAGAATTACACCAGTTTCTAGAGCTAGTGAATGGTATGGTATATATAAGGGACATGTAGTACATTAGTACTAAGTATTTTTATTTTTTTTTTACTCATTCTGTATTTGAAATTTGATTTAAAGATTAATTGTTAACTATTCATTCATTCTATTTTCATGTGCTTTAGTCCCTTTTTTCAAAGGTCACTGTTTTGAAACTGAAAATGACACTACTGTGGTGCATTTGAGATCTGTTCGGGAGACACACCATCTAAAACAGTGCAGCTGATAAGAACTACAAGCATAAACAAAGCTGCTGATAATTCAAACGAAGGAGAAAAAGCAAAAGTAGACACACAGACAGGCACAACGAATAGCTCTAATTTAAAACCTATAGGGTAGTGCTTGGCAGTCAGCCAAAGTCTAAATGATAAATGAGTTTTAACACGCAAAAACAATTTTGGGATCCTTTAATTATTCATTGAAATGTGATGTATAGCAACAGCTGGTACGGAAATCTACACGAGAAATAATTCAGCTGTGTGCTGCTCACTGGCATGAGTTTGGGTGACCTCCTTACCTAAACTGCTCTTGTCTGTTCCCACACAAATATAACAGGAAGTCATGAGATGGTACCGCACTAAAAGCACCTAAATCCAGATTATGAATGTTATGCCTGTGTGAGCTCAAGCCCAAACAAAAGCGTGTCACTGCTTTTTTCCCTCAGGAAGAAATGATTTTGAACTGCTGGGGAGGTCAGCCCTGTCACCTCACAGCAACAGGTCCAGGGCTCAAATGTATTCTGGGGCCTTTTACACACAGAGGCTATTTAATCCACTTTATGTTAAAGACTTCATAATACCATATAAACCCAATGGTGCACTTGACTCTGAGACTGCAGGTTTACTTGTGGATGCTAGAATGCCAGCTCGCAGTTTGGATTCAGGAGACAGACCCAGTCTCTACTTTTGAGATTAGGCGTAAAACTTTTTTAAAAGTTTATCTTTAAGGCTGATCAGGTGACCCTGAATCCTCCCTTAGTTATGCTGTAATAGGCCTAAGCTGCTGGGGGCTTCCCAGGAGGCCCTACTTTTTCCATTATGTGTTTATATGACACGCTGCATTTAATCATTAGTTATTATTGATCTCTGGCTCTCTTCCATAGTGTGTCTTTTGTCCGGTCTCCCTCCCCTCACCCCCCTTCCTGAGTCTGGTTCTCTTGGAGGTTTCTTCTTGTTAAAGGGAGTTTTTCCTCCCCACTCTCACCAAGTGCTTGCTCATAGGGGGTCATCTGATTGTTAGGCTTTCCTTTGCATTATTGTAGGCTCTTTACTTCACAGTACAAAGCAAATCTAGGCAAATGTTGATGTGATTTAGAGCTTTATAAATAAAATGAAACTACACTGAATTTCTAATAATGGGTACTCCGGTTTCCTCCCACAGTCCAAAGACATGCATGGGGTTAGGTTAACGGGTAATTCTAAGGATAAATGTTGTCTGTCTCTATGCTTTAGCCCTGCGACAGACTGGTGACCTGTCCACGGTGTGCTTTCTCTCGTCCTAGATAAGCTCCATTCTCCCCACAACACTGAACTCAATAAGCGGAAGAAAATGGACGGATGGATGCCAAACAATGTCTGCACTCTAACACAGTAATCACTTAATGGCCACAGTAGAAACAATAGGAATTGCCACCTGATGCTGACTAATCCCAAACCCATTAGTCTGACCATTACTTTCCTGAAATTGGGCAAAATCCACTGGAAAAACATTACACAGGAAGGGGAACATGTTCAGGGTGTGTTTCATGGTGTGATTGTTACCCAGTTTCCCAGTTGGCCTCCAGCAGCTCCAGCAAAGCCATTCTCTGCTGCAACAAGAGGGAGCCAGGCAGTTCTGCTGTGGCCAGAGCGTGAAATTCCTCACACGGGTAGTCGTCGAGTACATAGCCCTCCCCTGGGACTTGGCGCCACGTTGCACTTTCGACTGACCAGGGGCTGGAGGCCTGGTGGAGGAGTATGGCAAAAAAGTAAGCTTTACCACTGATATGGACATCTCTTTTAACCTCCTAGGACCTGGCGTCCACATATGTGGACATCACATTTTGGGTTATTTAGACCAAAATACTCAGTTTTGCTCTACAAGGGCCTGATATCCACTTATGAGGACATTATACTGCTACTGTTCTATCAAAATTTTAAACGAATATCTTCATATGTGGCTCTTATTTTTCATTAAAACAAAAACAAGGTAAAAAAAAAATCTGGTAATTCTTTGTTTTTACATTCATCGGGCCCCAATATGCCCAGATATCAAAGAGAAATTAAAAATGCATGCCGTGGAAGAGTTTGGGTCTTAGGAGGTTAAATGTTCAAATCCATCTGAAGTTAAATCGACTGAGGTGTCCTGCAAGCATTGCTTGCTTCTTTATGGGCTTACAGTAGCAAACTGAATGTGTCTTCTCTTAGGTTGTTATCTACTAAAGCCAGAAGAAGAAGAAGGAAGTCTGATCATGTCCAAGGAACACTGATCGCTGGCAGCACAAACAAAGCCAGAACCAGATTTTTTTTGATTGGTCCAAAACCTGCTCACTTTAATCATTAGTGTTTACTTTGTTTTGTCAACTTTTATACAGTTATAGTATAAGACACCAACAAACAATTGTTAAGACTGTTAGATTTATGTGTTTCAGGTTGCCTATAGTTGCAAGTAAAGTAATCATAGACTGTTTTTTTCTGCTAACTTGCTTGATAAATGGCTTAATGAGATAAATCAGTTTTAAAACTACTATGAATCACTTTTGATTCTGACTAAACCAACTGACAAAAAACACAAGGTCCAGTTCTGGTTCTGCCGGAGGATTCTTCCTGTGAAAAGGGAGTTTTTCCTTCCCACTTTTGCCAAAGTGCTTGCTCATAGGGGGTCATATGATTGTTTGTTTTTTCTCTGTATGAATTATTGTAGGCCCTAGAATGTAGGGTCTACAATAGGGCTGCCACGATTAGTCGACTAGTCACGATTACGTCGACTATCAAAATCGTCGATGACTAATTTAATAGTCGATGCATCGTTTGAAGCTTTGTAAGATCCCAAAAGACGCAGGAATAAGTGGTAGGATTTAAGAGTGTAATAACGGACTGAAACAGAAGATGGCAGCACTGCATGTACAAGGATGCTAGCTGCCGTTAAACCCCGAAGAAGAAGACTGTGTCCCAGAATTCATAGCGCAGCCCAGCTCAGTTTCCAACAACTCTTATTATTCTTTCTGGGTCACAAAATAAACGTTTA